ATATGATTCCAAACATGGTGAAGTGGCGTTGATGTGTGGTCAAGAAGAAGGCCGCACGCAGAAGTGGTGGGTGATGTGCGGGCGAACAGTGTCACCCCACGGCGACAGTGTGGGCTGCACGGTGACAGCTCAAGTCTCAAACAGCCACCCCACACTGCCCCAAAAGTAGCAGGCGAAGAGAACAAATCAATGTCACCTTCCCACCATCGCAAATAAAACATCAAAAACTACCTGGCCTGGTCGACTTGATATGTCCAGTTCCTCATCTTCCTCCAAAAACCATCCCAAAACGCCTTCCATCCCATCCTCCCTCCCCTTCCCCCCCTTGTATCAGCCCTCAGCCTCGCGCGGCTCGCGCCATGCGCGCGCCACGCACCGCGACGCGCCTCCTGCGTCCACGCGAAGGTGGCCCAGCCGCCCGCCGACTCGCCGACGACGTGGATGCGCTCGAGCTCGGGGAAGCTGAGGGACCGGGTGTGGCGAGGAGGTGACTGAGAGGTATTTTGGGCGCCATGGTTGTTTCTTCCCAGAAACGGACGTATCACCCAATCGCTCCAAACAAAAACCAGCCCTTGGTCCCTCAAAACCGGATTTGAGGGTCCAAACCCCTCCATATGAGGGTCCATGAGCATCTGGGCAATGGTCAACGACACCTTGCTGATCCGGCGCTAGAGTGCCCGCCTCCATCGCCGTCCTACCGAGAAGACCATTTGAACACACCAGCTGGCTGCCGTCTAAAGTCCTTGTATAACAAACTGGGCTTTCCATGTGGTTCCCCCCAAATATGGCACCAGTGACATCAAATGGTGGGCCTTGGACTTGGTGTTTTGAACACATGGTCTCCGTCTCCGTCTCCGTCTGCCCCACCTCCGCTGGACCCATCGCAGCACGGAGTCAGCGTTGCGAGCTCCTAGGTGCTGAACCTCCATGTAGCTCCCATTGGAATCCTCGTAGCGGGCCACGTGGTTGCCCATATGCTGATCCCCGGTGCAGTAGGCCAAGGTCACCCACGTCCAGTTCCTGGAAGATGGGCACAGATCTGAGGTTAGCAGTCACCAAAGCAAGATGGAAACCCCACTGAAACCGTGAAGGTTTAGATGGGCCAAAGTTGGGCAACAGGTCTTGGAAAGCAAACCTGCATCTATCCAAAAATGTGATTCTGATTCTGCAGACTACTAAGCATGTCTGTTTTTCTAGCGCGGGAGGAAAATAGAATCAGCCGTAGAGACCCCTGTCACATGTGTACCTCCAAGATACACATCAAGTGGAGCAACCCAAGCACAAACCACGAGTTATTGGCTTGCCCCAGTTTCAACGAGTCCCAGCCACTTCCAAAGAAGAACAGAACGTGGCGCCGGCACCACCAGAATAGAACGGTTTCTCGTTGAGAAAGTGGGGCACTCCAGGCACTCCAAAAAAAGGAAACAAACAGTCGATGAAAGCGGGACCGCCCAGGTCGACTTTTTCAGACACGGGCTGAAGTTTCTTCCCTCCCAACAGTCGATGTGAAATGACTTTGTTGGAAGAAACCGAGAAACGAACGGAAAAGACCCGTATACGTGACTCACTGAACCCTGTCCGATGAAGCAGCCATTCCGACCCGATGCCCCGAGTCGACGGGGGCTCCTGTGCGGATGCTCCTCGTTGCAGAAATCCCATAGGCCACCCACGTTGAAGCCGGGGAAGCGGCCTAGCTGAGCGAAACCACGGATGGAACGACCACACAACGCCCACACCGCGCCGTGCTCCCTTCCGTCCGGTGTAAGCCTTTCCCATTTCGTGCCAACCAAACTCGGTGGGACTGAACCCCCCCGCCCCCCGGTTCCACCCCTTTCAGAGCTCTGCAAACCTCCGCCGGCGTCCTTCCGCACGTCAGGTGCCCAAGGGGCAGTTCTTGACGCTGCTTCCCATCATACTTCGGATGAACTCCAGCCCCGTCTCCGAGAGCCAATACTTCGTCCTCTCGCCTCCTGGCACCGACCATGAGCGGAGCGGAACGGAGGGCGGGAGGGCATACACCAGAGTGGGACTGGTGGACTGGTCACGACCCATGCCCATCCACCAGAGAGTTCCAGAGCACCCATCCCATGGACCCGACCCCAGTTCCGCGCGGGGCGGTTCGGCGCGGTTCAGGCCTAGCCAGCCTTCGGTGGTCGCGTTGCAGGTTTCATAGCTCCAACATCCACCTGTTCCGCGCCAGTCGGAGCGCACCGCGCACGATGGGTGTGCCAGAGTGTTCGAAGATGAAGGCACCCCCAAAAGAGCGGGGAACGAATCGATTCATGCGATGTGTTGATCATGTCGTCTGAGAATTGACTTGTGCTATAGGGTTTTAAGACCAATAGACTGACTAAGTCAGTCTTAAGAATTGCAACTCACACACACAACTCTGGCCTGTCACGCTCGTCACGGATATGGGATACCTGAGAACAAACCTGTGAATCAACTCTTATCAACGAACGCCAGCGGTCCGACGCCTCCGCGGAAAAACCTCGCGCGACCCGGCCGGTCAAACCCAGCCTCCGCCGAAGAATTCCAGCACCAACTCTTTGCTGTTGATCTGATTCTCAGGTGTCTTCACCAAGAACTCATAGGGCTTCCCCAGGCCGCAGCCAGTGCCATCCTGCCCGTTTTTGGTCCACCCCTACGCCCCACACACGCAAGCCGAGAAGACCAAAAGAGGGGAACGAGCCCAGTTTCGTCATGAAAACATCCTTGGTAAAGCAAGGTTTTGTTGACCTAGCGGGCCTCCAAATTCTCTGTGAGTGGTCGGAGAAGAAAATTCTCACTCCATCCATCCAAGCTAGTTACTACATGTGAGTTTGTTGGGGGGACAAGGTATCATTTGCATTCACTTTCAACCAGCCGATCGTTACAATGTCCTTGCTCCTTTTGGCCAACCAAGGTAGAAACATGTAGAAACCCTGTTTGTCACGCGGTGCCAACGGGCTCTTATTTTCCTTCCCCCAAAGCACTTGAACACCACTCTCGGGCCTCCTGGGGCGGCTGCAGCAGGTGGAAGGTCCCTGGCTCGAGCTCTGCCAGTGCCCGCAGGGCAGAGGCGGTGCTGACCACGCTGAGCGCCAGGCACCAGAGCGGCCGCTCCAGCGCTCGGAGGGGCGTTTTCAGACCATCCGCCATGGGCGGTGGTGAGCTACAAGAACCGTTTGTTCGGTGCTGAGCGTTCGGTGCTGAGGGTTGGACGTTCTCGCGATGTTCTGACCGTTCGCGTTCTCGCGTAACACATATATAGGCATACTTACGTTCCATTCCAAAGGTTAAGTGACCTGAACTAGGACCCATCACCAGGGGCTACCGAACTAGGATAGTCGAACAGTCGGGTCCTTCAACCTCTGTTGGTACCGTTTTGGTCAGGTCTCGGGACGTCGTTTCGACGCCGACGCCCTTTCGGTCGCGAGGCAACTGCTGAAAATAGGGCCGTGAAGGTTCCGTTCGTCACCCGAACTAGTCGTGAGGGTTTCTATATACCCTGGAGTTTCTGTAGAAGTTGGGTGGGCCTTGGGTGGGCCTTCTCTGACCCTGCAGTGGCAAATGCAAGCATGGTCTAGACTAAGCAGAATGGGCGGTCAATTGTTGACGCAGCCTAAATCACAGGCCCCAGCCATCGTCTACAAAGCGAAGCTACAAATGCTACAGAAAAGGCGCGCTGCTGTCCTCTCATGTTCTTGCAACACTTCCAACACCCAAAATGGGGGGACCTGGCGAACCTGTAATGCCCCCTTAATGAGTTCATGGGAAATGCAAAGAGAACGTGAGCGAAATCGGTTGGAGATGGTTGGAGGGTCTCCCTTGGTCTGTCTTCTCTTCGCTTCGCACAAGGCAAACGAGTGAGCCAGTCTGTTGATGAGCACCTGCACGGAACTCCCAGTGAATCACACCCCAGCTGCATGGATGGCTTTCACGGAGCATCACCATCATGATAGGCTGGGGAAACGAAGACGGTTTCACGGATGGTTGTCCCGGACCATCGAAACCAAAACCCAAGACTATAAGAATCCCTAGAGATCCAAGTACCTTCTCAGGTGTTTGGGGTGGGTTTGGAGGGTCCAGGTGCCTTCTGAGAAGGTACTTGGATCGCTAGGGAAGATAAACCGAGCTCCTCATGTTCCACCTTGCCCCGTCTTCTCCCGTCTTCCGTCCCGGGGTCGTTCTACTGGTCGGTCGACGGGTCGTCCTTTTCGCATCTCCCCCCCGCGCGCGCCCCGAGGAGCTGGGAGTCGAAGAGCTCGAAGATGCAGAGGTCGGCCTTCTGAGGTAAATCTTCACCCACCTGGTCCAGGTGCACCGGGTTTTTGGTGGGTCTTCTGCCTTCTCTTCGGCCTTCTAAGGTGGGTCCGGGTTTTGGGTGAAGGTCCACCTTATCTGCGAGAGGGAGCAGGGGAGAAAAAAGGTGGAAGAACCCTATTTCGAACCCTAGCCCTAGCGGAGGTTGAAGAACCCCGACTGTTCGACTATCCTATATAGGTACCCCTTATGATGGGTCCGTCAGGTCACTTAACCCCGGCTGGTCCAGGTCCGGGTCCCGGGACCTTCAGCTTCTTCGGACCTGACCGACCATTAGGCTCCGCACACGTCCTTACGCCACGATCCATCGGGAATCCGGGTTCGGGTTCTCTTCAGAACCAGAGGTTCAGTGACCTGAACTAGGACCCATCACCAGGGGCTACCGAACTAGGATAGTCGAACAGTCGGGTCCTTCAAGCTCTGTTGGAACCTCGGTGGACGGTCGAACCGCTCGTCGTCGACGGCCATCGGGACCTCGACCCACGCCGTTGATTCGTCGTCGTCGAGCTGGAAAGACCTCCACCGCGCCGTCGTCGAAGATCGGTGCCGTCTCCGGCGCGGTGCGGACGTGACACGGCGACGGCCCCGAGGCGAGGCGAAGGCGAAACACCCGCGCCGGTCTCACAGGGGAGCTCGCGAGCTATTTCCGAACAGAACTGCCCGTTGGATGCATTGGATCCGAACAGAAAACCGCCCGGGAGATGGAGGTTTTCTTCACCTCCAGGTCGCTGGCCACTTTGTTCACCACCTGCCGGTCTCTGCCGGAAGGCGTGGATGGAGGGAGGGTGGTGCGCGCCGATGGTTTGGGTGGGCAGATGTCTTTTTTCAGGTGGTTTGCAAGGTAGTGGCGAAGAGGATTTGGGAATGGTATAGGATTTGGGGAAGGTCATTGGATTGGATGGTGGTTAGGTTGGCTATCGGCTGGCTTGCTGTTCTCAGAGGCACACGTGCTGGTCCCTGCCCCGACCGCAAGCTGGTCTTTCTGCTTACCTATCTTGCCTTCTTCTCAACATGTCTAAGAAAGAGATGAAAAAGGTGTGATGAAGGCAAAGCCCTTACGTGCTTTCTTGTCAATCTCTTTGTTGGCGAGATGGATAACAGCCTCGAAACCACGATATCATGATGTCGACGGACTGCCTTCTCGACAGAGTCCACTCCGATGACTGGTTCTCCCATTTCGCCCAACTCCTGCACCTTCAGGACCCCCTTTGAAAGGATGTCCAATTTTCAAGGCTTCGATTGGCTTAGATGGCATGAGGGAAAGCCAATGAACCACCAGGCACGGGCGGTCAGCTGCTTTCATGTCTTCTTCAACTTCATGACTGGCAAACACTCCTTGAAATCCATCATGCCCGAACCAACACTCTCGGGTTTGCTTCGGGCCCTGAAACCACCTCTGCGGGGTCCGACCCCCGACCCCCATGGAGAGCCGGTGAACACGTGGATGACATTGGCCCCGAGTTCGGATGACCGACCCTGAACCCGAAGACCCAAAGACAGGCGGAGGAGACGTGGCGAATTCTCTCCACTGAACTTGTAGCATGGTGTTCCGAAGCAGTGGTGCTCCCCAAATCATCTCTGCCCTGGGTTAACCCAGTCCCAGTCCCAACCAGAAACAGTTCTGGCTGTTCCAATGTGGCTTCCCCTAAGATTCTTCACGTAACAAGTGGCTGGGACCCGGGAAAGTTGCAACTAGACCACCTGGAAACCCAAGTCTCAACCAGAAACAGTTCTAGGTTGTTCCAACAGGGCGCAGGGCAATTGAGATCCTTTACATAGCAAGTGGTTGGGACTGTGAACACATCCATTATATAATTTCTGGTTGAGACTGGGTTTCCAGGCAGAACTGTTTCTGGTTGAGACTGGGTTTCCAGGCGCAACCCCCGACCAGTACAGTTGACCAGAGGGTGACCAGAGTGAGACGGGTGTCGCTCCGCAGGAAGTTGCTTTCGGGTTTTCGCACAACAAGGTCCCCGTTTCGAGCCACAAAAACGAAAAGACCTGGATCTTCCAACTGTCTAACGTGTCTGCCTCTTTCTTCTTAAACAACCCAGTCGAAGGGCAACACATGTTGCATACTTGGAAGATTCTATATCATATCTATAGGTATCTGTGGCTGGACAGCTTTGCATCATGCACTTCTTCACACCTCTTCCACCACTCCGCCCCACCTTCACACGCTCCTGCAAGCCATTCTCTTTCAACACCAGTCCGGCCACGTGGGCACAGCGCTCATAGACCTCGAGCGTCGTGCAATGGGTCTTCCGTTCACCAGAAGATGCAGCGAAGGAATGGGCCAAGGATGGGTCTTGGACATTCCGACCTCCAGTCTGATTCCAATCAATCTCAGACACGACCTATCTGGGACTGCCGAATACGACTGCCGAGAAACGGCCAGGGGTGCTTTGGAGGGTTGGGGCGGCAGTCCGGACTGGCAGTCCCAAACAGGTCGTGTCTGGGAATGGAAAGGGTTTAGGGAAACCGAATCGGACTCTTTCCGCGAATCGGCCATTGGCGCCCGAGGTGGTCCACGACGCCCTGCCAAGGGTGAGGTCGAGCGAGCATGGATTTGAGGGTGAACGACGAAGACCGACAGCGTCGACGGTTATATTTTCAGAGACGCTTTGCCCCTGCACCATCCAATGACAGCCAGACACCACTGTGGGCTCGCCAAAAGCTTCAACACATTGACCTTCTTTCGCTTGGCTTTCGGAAGATCTTCAAAAACGCCTGGAACCCCGGTCTCAACCAGAAACGGAAAATATGTTCGTTCCAATTGTCCATGTTTGATCCAATATGTTCCAATTTAACTATATTATATAACTATAATTATATAAAATACATTAAAATACGATATAGCAACATCTACAAAGTACCTGTGCTCTCCATGCTCCCCGCTTTCGGCCTCGCAGGCCACCGCGCGGCAGGACGGATGCGCCTCGGTTCCGCGCAGCGGTGGAACGGGTGGGACGAGCTGTGGAACGGGTGGTGTTTCAGCCACCAAAAGATTCCAGGAGTCACAAGACGGGGTGGTTTTTAGGGACTCAGTGAGTGGAGTCACGATGGTGAGAGTGGAGAAGGAACATCCGGCCTTCTGTGGAACTCAAAACTTGACCTCGGACTCTCAGAGTGGGCCGAACTGATCGTGGAGCAGTGGAGATACTTCAGTCAAAACGGAAGTTCTGGGGAAGCCGAATGGAAACCGTTGGTGCTCTCCTTCGCAGAAGTCAGGGACAACCGACATGGAAGATGGAACCAGTTCAGTTGGTCTCCAACATCGTCACGGCCCTACCTGGACCCTGTTTGGGTGTCAGGTCTGAAAAACCTGGATAGTAGTGCGCTGGGTAGTCCATGGCTGGACATCCAGACAGGATGGTCTACCAAAGGCTTCATGAACCTGTTTAAAAAAAGGACTGGAAAAACCAGGTGCGTTGATTCAACCTGGACCCTCCAAGGGGTGTCCAATGGACTACCCCACACTACCTATAGGCTTCCATTCGGCACCCCTTAGAGGGTCCTGGAAGAAGCAGAGCTTTTGACAAAAAGAACAGGTCGAAGTCCAGTGATTTTGCCGAAACCTCTTGAGACCGGCTTTTCGACTGGACGGGCTGCATGGGGACCTCAGCCTTGGATGAGAAGAAGACCTTCGACTGAGGGAAACAAGAGGGAAACAACATGTCCACCATGTCAGAAGAAACATCCCATTTCGACAGAGAGGTCTCTTCTTGGAGAAGCCATCTTCACCTCATGTTCATTCTCCCCGGCCGCGCCGCGTTGGCCGAAACCGGCCCGCCACGCTCGGCCTGGCATGCCAGGGCTGCCAGCAAGCCGGTCCC